CCAGGGCAAGGCTGTAGAGGATGGAGAGCACTGTACAAAGGCTAGAGAGAGAGAGAGAGAGAGAAAGAGAGAGAGAGGCGACACTGTGCAGGGAATGTCACTGAAATTTATAGTGGGAAAGATGTTTGTGCAAGACTCGACATAGAGTCACAAGGACAAATGTAAAATTGGGAGCAGGGCTTCTGAGCAGGTTCAGTGGGCAAACACAACTTTTCCATCCTTATCTGAAAAGATCTTTATTAAGGAGCAGTGTGCACTAATTTCATCAAGCAAGCATGAAAACAGTAGGACTAGTTTATCTGTAGTGGCTGCTTGCAACGTTTACAGGAGGAAATGTTAGACATAGGCAGGAAATATGATGTATTTGTTTCTGATATGTGTTGCCATACATAATGTTGCTTATTGGTGAAATATTCTATGAAGTTCATGAGGTTCTGAAGAAAACGAATCTCATACAATCAGTTATTTAATATCCATTGATGGTGACAGGAGGTTGCTTGACATGGTTGCTGAGAGTCAAGGAACTGACCCTATGACCAGGCTCACTGCAAGCAAGCAGAACGTACATTTGTGTGACCGTGGGGAATAAGTTTTGTTTGGTGTGAGAAAAGTTGACAGTTGCATAATGGCTGAGATTAAAAGATTAAAAGAACATATAAATTCACAAATGAGTGCTGCTCTCTACTCAGGCCCAAACACACTCAAACACCTCTTCTGCTACCACCACAGTCACACACACACACACACACACATACACACACTTCTTTCCCCCAAGCACGCCACTGCTTAAACATCCCCCAGAATTCTTTGACAGTGGCTGTGCTGTTGCTTGGCAACGAGGCGACTCACAGTGCCATCCAGGGAGTAACAGAGAGGACGAGAAGCAGAGAAGTCTATACTTTAATCTCACCGGTACTTAGATCATGGGGCACAAGGGTATTCACAAATTATCCTGTAATTATTGTAATGCTCACAAGACTAAAACGATACATAAGCAAATCCACCCTTGAATAAATGCAAGATGTAAGATTTTTATGAGATAAAGTTAAAAAAAAAAGAAAAGCTGACCTTTCTAAACCATGCGTCTGCAACTGGAATTTCCAAGCTGATTATAAACTGCAGCAGCGTAAAGGTGAATGAGCTCTTTATCTCATTATCAATAGAATTTCCCCATTCAAAACCTTTGCTTCACTCTCCTTGTCTTCATACCAACCACCATCTACTTTAAGGTCAGCTCACGAAGAGTCATTTTATTTGGCAACATTTAAATTCAATCTATTAGAGGAATCTCATCAGAAATCAAAAAGTTATAATGTTTTGATGACGATCTGTTTCATATTGACGAGAACTAATAATGCAGTCATACCTGTACCACTGACCTCATAATGTCATTATTCAGCCGCTGGCAGGACGTTCAGTCTGTGCAGTAGCTCCATTGTGCTGAGTAAGTGGTGTTGTGTTAGGGCTGGACTTGACATACATCTCCTTTTTCTTTATTTTTTTAACTTAAGCAATTCTTTTTAAGACAAAACTGCAGTATTAGCCACCTGGGATAATGTCTTGGCAGTCAATACATCCCCACTGCTGTTGACTCCACAGTATTCCCTCTTCACACTGTCCACTGTGACCATTACAACATTACATCTGTATTTAATTTCAAATAAATGTTGACCTCACCATTTATTGTGCAAAAACATTGTTACAGAATTAGAAATATCACTGAACTAAATGAGGTAATTTTTTGTGGGGGGGAAAAACTCAGCACAACTGAATGTAATCTTACTGCACAGTGTTTAAACTGTAGGAAATATACTGCACATAGCCAGTGGCTAAAATAATATTACTGATTATACTGACTGCAGTTTTAATCATTTACAAGGTTATACTTTCACAGTAACCCTACAAACAATGAAGGTTGGGAGTCTCCTGGATAAAAATGCAACAATCCAAATGTGCAGGAGCCTACACATATCATCAGTCAGGTAAAGGTCCTTCAGTAGCCAGAAAAGGCTTGGATTGACATAAAAATACCATGAGAGTTTCTGTTTCTAACAGAAGTTTTAAGAGTTACTTGTGTGCTGATGATCATATAATCACTCCGTTTACAATACAACATGACTAAACCAAATAAAAACTGGCTTAAAATGGAAGCTTCTCAAATGTGAGAAACTGTGGTTTTTCAGTTTTATATCATTGTAAATCATATAGCACGTGGTATTAGATACACTGATCAATCATAAGCAGTAGCTGAAACACGCCTGTAAATTGTGGAAACATTACACTCCTGAGATACATGTATGATGACACAGGACAAGAGGAGCAGACAGAGGAAGGCTGCTGTAGCTGCTGAGTAAGGGGGCATGTGCCACGGCTCAGACTCTGAGTGACAGGTATTGACCCGCCCAGCCAAAAGACGTCTCTGTGGGAACACTATTGATTATCGCCGCAGCAATAAAGGTCCCAGAAGCTTGTGAGAATGTCATGACTCTTTGCTGCCTGCCAGTCCCGGTCGCAACACACGAACAAGAATAAAATAATTTAAAAAAAAAACTACTGCGTTCATTCTGACACATCCTAACTTACAGCTACTCATTCACTCATGAGCTATGATGGGCAAAGAGGGATTGTTGGCATAGTGACTGCCTGGTGGCGTAGGGTGTGTATTTGTGTGAGCACGAATGAGTAGTAGGCCCCTAAAGTGACAGTTCACCTAGATTCCAAAAAGCATACGGTCTTTACGTAGTGGTTGCCAGCCATTCAGTGAGTTTGTTTTTATTTGCTGGAGATTTGAAATATCTGTTTCTAAGATTTCTCATGAAATTTGCTGATTTTAAAAATTCCTCAGCAACCCGTCTTTACAGAATCAGTGAACCAGTGACTCGGGGTAAACCACAGAATATGATGTCACTGGTTTTAAATAAGGACAGTTTTTTCCAGAACAAATCACACTGAGATCTGTGGGTTATCCAGAGTAACAGGTACAGTGTTGATTAATTTGCTATAATAATAATAATAATAATTTGGCAGTGTACTGGGGTGGAGGCAAAAATCTTACGGTTTGATTTCTCAGAACCTTTACAAATAAAACAAAAACTGTTTGACAGATACTGAGTCAAGTGAAGCCACAATACATGTACATGATCCTCATGTACGTGCAGTTTATCCACTTTTTCTTTTTTTAATCTCTCCTGCATTCTGGTCAAAACAAAAAAGAATTTCTTTTTGTGTTTCTTTCTCCCTCCTTCTCCGTTTGTTTCTCACTCACAACCACCCACAACTCAGAAACGCAATTTCCACCCTTGACCTCACAGTGAAAAGTTAGTGCAGCCAAGGTTGAACTCTCCCAGACCTGCCACAGCCGCAAACACTGGGAAAGTGGCCCTGACATATGTGTATGTGTGTGTGCTCGAGTGCATGGTTGTGTGTGTGAGTGTGGCAACACTTGGGGTGTCATGAATAGGAAAGATTTGACCCTCAACCCTCTGACCTGTCCACACAAATGATGCCTTTAACCCAAGGCTGCTATTGTTAGCGTTGACTGCAGAGCCCACCAAAAGAGTCAAAATCCATGATATAACACTTTGCTTAGTTTTTTTTCCAACCACATTTATGCCTCTCCTCTTTTCTTCTTTCATCACCATTCTTTTTCTCCTGTTCCCATCACTCATGTTTTCGCCTTTGTTGTCTCTACTTCAGAATTTTCACCTGAGTGTTCAGCAGAATGAGCATTAGTATTAAACTCCATCTATTTTTTAATACAAACTTTTACTTAAATTGAGTATTTGAATATTTATACCTAAGCAGCTCTAATATTAACTTTTCTGTTTATCATAAAGTGTTCACCTTCTGACCTGAGTTCCATGTAACTGTGTGCATGTGCATATCTGTGAAGAGTATGAGTGTGGACTGCTTGATAGAACATCAGGGACTTGATATTATTATTATTATTATTATTATTGTAGTGTAGTTATAATCTAGATTATTAGTTTAACACACACACATACACACACATTTATAGTATTGTACAGAGAGACAATGCTGATTAAAAATCACAACACTCTCTGCAAATTAATAGATCACATAAACATAAATTAGATATAACCAATGGTGAACTCAGATCGTGTGTGTCTTTATTTCTCTTGAAAGCAATCAACAACAACTGCTAAAGGAGCTTTTCAAAAGGGGCCCCGGGGACCTCCAGGGTCATTGAGGAGGTTCAAAGTGGATCCATGCAGCAAAACCTGAACTGAACCTGGTGTCGATCCTCAGTGTTAGGAAGTAGGGACTGGTCATGGTGACTTTACCAGGGGAGACAAATAAATGAGAAATTGATTGACTCTAGGACAGACACTGTAGCAGGAAGCTATTTGTTTTTAAGTGAGTAATGCAAGCCATCTCCACATCCCACTTCCATCAGAATGTCCCAATACCACTGTGTGCACCAACTCATTTTATGAAGTGATATACAGTTGGATCACACCCTCCCTCTGCTGGTGAATCTCTGAATTGCTGCCAGAATCAAGACCCTTACATGTACTGATGTATCCTGCGCCGCAGTCTTCAGCATTTTACAACCCATCAAACGTCTTACTCATATATATCGAATGTACGTGCTACTTGGCCAAATAAAGAGGATTATCCTAATCCTAATATGTTAAATGTACACTGCCTTTTAACAATGTAAACTGAAACGAAGATAAGAGTTTAAGTATTTTAGACAAAAGTAATAATACAATTTGACGATTAAAAAAAACCACAGGAGGTTTTGTTGACTGAACATTAGGTGCTATACGTCATATACATCATATGTCAACATTGTCTCCAGACATTCGTGAAGACCAATCTGGCCAAAATGATGCCTTCATCTTTGGCTGGCGATCTGCTTAAAGCGGAAGTTGTAATTGAACCCTTTCTCGAAGTGGGTTTGGATTTGTTCTTGGAAAAACTAGCCAGCTTGTACAATAAGTAGGGGGTTGAACATTTGGGAAAGCCCTTTTTCCTTGGACTGCTGACGAGTACGGCAGCTACGTGCTGAAGCACCCTGGATTATTTAGTAGCCTCCACCATGTTACTTCACTTTCTAGTTTTAGGGGCCTTGCTTTTCCGGTCAGAGTGTTACTTTTCTGAAGAAAAGTATCCGGAGGAGTCGAAAATGCAGTCTCCTACCGTGGTTATCGCTATTATAGCCAGAAACACCGCTCATTCCCTTCCGTACTACCTCGGAGCTCTGGAGAGACTCAACTACCCGAAAGATCGCATCTCTGTATGGTGGGTTTCCTGCATGGACTCTGCGGACTGCATGCACTGCTTGGCTGTGTGTACACGGGCTCTGCTTTTTTATCAGACAACAGCAGCCGTTCAAAAGGTCAATGGCATTTAAATGAGTTTGTGAAAGCTGCGGCGTCCTTCCCCTCCCCTGTCCCCCCGCGTCTGCCTCTCGCTCCGCCACATTCATTCCATACAGATGACTGCGTGAAATGTTGTGTGCGGTTTGTTCCTACTGCTGTGCCTTTTCTTAGCAGTGATTACAATAAAATATATGCAACATTAATGATTCAAATCCACAAATCGAACTTGCCCCTACTGGTTTATATGCCTCCGGGGAACTTTGCTGTAGTTTATGTGCACTAACACAACTCTGACCAATTTAAAATGTATTTTGCTTGTAAAGCTAAGGGTCTGATTTGATTAAGCTGGATCAAAGAAGAAATGTTAACTGTTGCCTGATTGCCCAACAGCACAAAATAGAGCTGCAATAGTCATTTAATATGATCTGTGGTGAATAATGATGTAGTAAGGTCAGGGAAATGTGATTATAATGGTACTTCAGTTCAATTCAATTTTATTTGTATAGCGCACAATCACAACAAAAGTCATCTCATGACACTTTACAAATTAAGGTTTAGTCCTTACAATTATTATTATTATTATTATAGAAGAAAGTGTTCACAACAGTGGGACTAGGAGATTACACTACATGAGGTATATTCAAAAAAGTGTCACAACGTATTTTATATCACAATATCATGATACATTTTATGAATTGTTAGTGGATGAAATAACTAGACAGATGTCTGTTTTCATCTAACCCAACAAGCTAATTACCTGACAAATGCTTCATCTTATTGATGCAAAGATCCCATAATAATCTAGTGTGGCAGTATAGAAGTTCTGCTAATTGATTTAATTACACAGACAATGTGAAAGTGCCAGTGTGACATCCTGGTTGAAAAGGCTTCGCTTTGTAAACACCCCACTAACTAGTTCTTATTCTGATTTAAGGATGCTCTGATTAAGTGGTGGCCTTCATCTCAGAAAAGAGAACCAGAACAGAAGTACACAATATGCAGTAACAGCATAACTACAGTGTAACAGAAAAGAGTGTGTTTACTGTAAAACATGAAAGAACATGCTACTCATCCACAGAGATAAGAGTAATCATTATCTGTGCTTCTTTAAGATTTGTTTGCGTTCTGACCATTTTACCTCTAATAAACCAACCTTTAACCAGTAGTCAAACACATTTCACCCAGTCTGATCTATCAGATTTGGAAGTGTGTCTTTATTTTACCACCTGCATTCTTTCTCTTTAGGGCTGCTACAGATCACAACTTGGATAACACCACAGCCATACTGAAAGAGTGGCTTACTGTCATGCAAACATTTTACCATTATGTTGAGTGGAGACCGATGGATCAGCCCACGTAAGTCCAAATATAGTGTATTACCATTTGGAATGTTGTCACCAGAGTGGTGTGGTTAAATAAAAATCCTCTGTTGATCCAAGACATTTCATCAGGTACATTTGATTTGATTTGATTTGATTTATTCTTTCAAGCATGTAAAGACAGTTGATATGTCAACACACATAATTTTACACATATCCAACAAATGCTAATCCAATATCAATGTGCTTATACCTAGTACATGCTTGAATGGAGTAGGAAGAAGTCAGACTTATCCAGTCCTACCCCATGACATCATCTTACCATCATTGGTTTGCAAGCAGTAAATAATTCTCTTCTACACCACACAAGTAATATACTAAAAAAATTATAACAGAGTGTTAACATTCTTACATAATTACATTCTTAAATAATTATCTTCTACACCACACAAGTAACATACTAAAGAATTAATACAAGGTGTTAACATTCATACACCACACCCACAATGTTCCATCTAATTAATCATTAAGCCTGTTCTTGCATATATCTTGATTGACACATACCTTTATATTTATGTTTAAACTCATCAATTCTATTACTATTTTTTATGTCCACACTTAAATTATTCCATAGTTTTACCCCACTTATAGAAATACAAAATCTTTTTTTGGTTGTACGTATAGCATGAATTTTTAAATTTAACTGACCCCTTAAATTGTATCCCCCTTCCCTTTCATTAAATAGTTTTTGAATTCCACCAGGTAATAAATTGCTCCTGGCTTTATACATAAACACTGCAGTCTTATATCCAACTAAATCAAAAAAGTTTAACAATTTAGACTGTATGAAAGCTACATTGGTGTGATCCCTATACCCCATCTTATGCACA